TTTTTGTACATGATGTATACATCTTTGCCAGTTATCTGCAGTTACTCGTTCCAAGGAATTTTTTAACAAAATTTTCACGTCACTTAATTTAAACGTCGTATTATTTCGCGCTACATCTCCTTTTACCTGCGCCCAGACTAATTCGATTGGGTTAAGTTCACAGTGATAAGGTGGTAACCGTAGTACCGTTATTTGGCGATTTGTTGCCATTTCATCGATAACATATTTTTTCTGATCTTTATTAAGATTGACAAGTGTCAAAAGTTCCTTTTTCACCATATTTGTTTCAAAAGAAATGTTTTTTCCGGATAACCATTGAATTATATCGGCTTTCCTCCAAGCAGTCGTAGGCGTCCGCTCGGTCTGCCGTGAATGGTAACTGGCATTATCCATGACAATTACAGACCCCGGAGGAATAAGATCCAACATCTGTGTAAAATACTCTTCGAAAACATCTGCGTTCATGTCTTCGTGATAGTCACCTGTATTTTTAGATTCAAATAAAAGTAAACCGCCATCTACAAAACCACTGGCACTACCTATATGTGTCACTATTAATCTTCGCCCTTTACCTGAAGGTGCCTTGAACCCTGTTGAAAGTCCATCCAAAAATGCTTGTCGAAAACTTTTTACATTTTTATCTTGCCATACTTTTGTTACAGTATATCCCTCGTTGACCCAAGTTTCGTCTAGATAATAAATATTCCTCCCTTCGTCACGGAATTTTCTAATTGATCTTAAGTAGGATCTTCGCCAACAAATAATTTCATCTTTATCGATAAGAACTGACTTCCTGTTCTGCTTTTCCCAGCAAAAATTCAACTCTCGTAAGACGGCCCATAATTTGCTTCTACTGATTTTTGGCAAATCGTTGTCCTCTGAAAGTTCACTTAAAATTTTGTTTAGCGTTGGTATTTCTTTTTTAAAATAAAATGAGTGTACTTTTCTGCGAATGACATTTTTGAAGAAATCATCTATAACGACTTTTGACCTCCCTGTAGATGATTTTGGGGGATTTACAGTATCTTGTTCATTTTTTGTTTCCTTTAAAAGTCTGTAGATAGTCGATTTTCCAATCCCTGTCATTTTGGAACACTTTTCCACGATGTCGTCAACACTGTTGGTAGGATTTTGGTGTTTCAATGCATTAAATACATTTAATATAATAATCTTCTCATTCTGAGACAGCGCACATCTTTTCACGCGTTTAGCAGGTACGTAATCTGATAAGCTCGACATTTTACCCAAACAATATTATATCCACTGGCACAATAGTCACTAAACACAAGTCGAATTTTACTCTACTGCACTAGCACGTCTTCGTATATTCAGCTCTAAGACTGGATTGATCTGTCACAATACACTGGCTCCTGCCCTATGATGTATCCAGTAAAATATACTAATGTACACCCATTACCTGTTAGCATTAGTGTTACCCGATAATTACCTGAAACGAAATATTAGCACGCCCATGGCCGGTTCTTATCTCTGGGTTTTATTACTCTCTTTCATTTCCAAACAGAGTATAGTAGCAGTGATTTAGTTTATCAGTGACGTGACATCCAGTGCCAGCACCTTGTAAATAAAGACCGATTGTAATAGGAATTTGAAAAAAATTCAATAAAATTTCAGAAATCCAGGCTTGGTGGCGGAGCGGTTTAAGGTGTCAGTGCTTGAATCGATGTTGCCACTCAGGAAGACCTATATTCGTAAAGGCAAATTAGGCACCCTCTCTGCGGGTATGAAAGGATGAAAGAATGTTGGTTTGGGTCAATGTGAGAGTGATGCCGGTCGGTGTTTGACCATCTCCTTAATTAATGAGATTTTCCAGGTTTCCCTCGTTCCTGTAGCAGCGGAAGTCGTTCCTGGGCGAAAATGCGGGATGAATAAAATGTCGCTCCCTCTGCCGTGGAAACCTATGACTTCTAGGCTAACAATGAGAATAGATATATTATTATTTCCGAGTTTTCGAGATTGGTATGCATCTTGAACTTGGTAAGAGCACCTCAAATAAAAAATACTGATAGTTAAAAACGATGGCATCTGTAATTTCTGATTAAACGAAAAACAAGTGACGTATCAGCGAACAAACATCCAAATCGCCGCAAATCCATTGTAAAATTCAGGAAAACTTGACGTGGCAAAGCGGGCGTGTTTGTTAACGCGGCCTATTCACAGTAGCAGGGCAATGATATATTTTAATTATGGAGACTTCCAGTAATGGGCGAAGAGACCGGCACGCGACGTGGCGTGTCGCCTCTGCGGCCTCCAGCCGCGGGCTGCACCCTAGGCCTCACCTTTGCAATCAGCCCTGGGTGTGTTCGCGACGCACCCTTTCCATCTAACGACACCCCCCGTCGCCGCCGCAGCCCCGAGGGGTGGGTAATTCGACCGCGAATGCCCCCGGCCGCCTGTCAGCTACCCCAAGAGACGCAAAATCGAAGACACGAATAATGAAATCTCGACTCCAATTTTATGACGCTTTCTGGGCCATTTGTTTCACGGGACGGACGGGTATAAATAGGCCACCTTGATGGAACGGCGTGTGATGATTTACTTGTGCACATGTGACACAATTAATTCTATTTTCGATCGTGTTCATTAACTCGGCGATAAAATGCAGATTTTTAATGGCCCTTGCAACACAAATGGCGTGTCAAAATTAAATTGCATTTTTTCACACACATAATACTTGTGACAAAGAAATAAATGCATTCTTTGAAACCAATTCTTTTAAGAAGAATATGGGAAATTCGCGGTAAAGGGGTTAATTTAGTTTTAAAATGTTTTCATAATTAAATTTTAATTTCCTGAACTACATTTGCAACTATTATAGTAGTATCAGAGAAGATCTTAACTACACAGAAGTAACAAAGTGGTTTCCCGCGTAAGTCGATTTCCAGTGCGCATGTGCTAAAATCGCCATGGAAACATGTTGTTTTTCCGTCAAGTAACCAAGCTTATTTAGGCAATCGACAATTTAATCCAACCTCACTTTTGTGTATTTATTATTAGTATTTATTTATTCTAGACTTAGTGTGAGTGATTAGTATTAGTAACTATTTAAACAGTCATAATATTTGTGACGTATGGTCGAGGGGGTTATTACTGTATTTGCCGAGGGTGCCCATCCAAAACAGGTAGAGGACTAAGCTTGTTTCCATTCCCGTAGACTCGAGCAGGTAGTGTAATAATTAGCTATGTATTACAAAATTTGAAATATATTGAATGTATACTAGAATTATTAAGTATATGTTTTGATAATTAATAAAAATCTAAATTTATGTACATTATATACCTACCTAAATAGTATCGAATGAAATAAACTAAACAATTTTCTTTTAGAGCTTCAGTAAGGTTGAGAGCGTGCAATAGAGAGGATATTCTCGAGAAAAATCCAGATACATAATTATCGACTTTGCGAGCTACATTTAGCACAAAAATATTTGTTCAAAGGTGGACTTCGGAAAACTTATTTGTTATCTTTGTATAAAATGTTACAAATGGTCCGTAAGTAATGACCCATAGAGAAATACTGGATTCTTTACTTTTAAGATTTTTTAATAATAAAAGCTCGTTACTTAAAAGCTTTACGTTACTCGTAAAAAAGTTACGCTCACATTTACGTCACACACATGGCTTATGTGGTGCCCTCTAGAAAATACATCGAAATAAATAACAGATGATCTCTCGTACCAAAAACATTTACCCTAAAATTTTTACATTCTTATCAATAACATAATTATTACAAAAATTAAATTTTTAACTTCGACACCCTGTATATTTTTATTATCAACATTTTATTAAGAAATGTTGGCTCCAATCGTAATATTTTGAAGTAAAGAATCTAGTATTTCTCTATGGGCCATTACTTATGAATAGTAAATAATATTGTGTATTTAATATTAAAAAATAAATATTTTTTTGTGGCATTTGGATTTATTTATAATTATATTCCATATTATACGAACTTTTTAATTATAGTAGTAACATACGTGTATCATGTGTAAATCATATTAGTTTTTTTGTTAATTAAGCATAAAATCATGCCTTACATCGACAACCAATGTAATATAATTTATGTCCAACTGATGGTTTTATGCCACAAGCTATTGAAAATTGTACTGGAATTATGGATTATATTATTCATTCATAATCATATAAAAATTTAAAGGCTTAATATCTCAAAGTAAATTTTATAAACTGTTTTTTCATTATATCTCTGATAACCTTTCTCTCAGTGTAACATGTTGTTCACCACCGTTCAAGGTCGAATATTTTCACACGCCAACATCAAAGGAGCCGCCGTTTATGTCGCTTCTGTGTAGTTAGGATATTCTGTGGTAGTATGCTTATAACTTTATACATGTTTTCGAATCGGTATGTCAGAACATTAATGGCAGACACAATAATAACTGTAAATTCCATATTATTTATGTTATTTTGAAATACAATCGACGACATGTTTTAAAAATAATATCGTTTAAATGTCATCTTTTACTTCTTATGACTGAATGAATCCAAGACCCAATTTTCGACAACTTCCTCGCACATTTCACATGGTGTATTATCAATAGTGGGTTGAATATTCAGTTTAAGATCTGGAATTGTTTGTGGCCTGTTTCTGTAAACCAAAGATTTCACATAACGCCTATAGGAAAAAGTCCAAGGGGGTGAGATCACATGATCTTGGTGACCAGTTGACATTAACATTTCTCGAATTAACCCGAAGTGGAAATCGTTGCAATAAATCAATTGTCGCAACATCATCTTGAAAAAAAAAAACCTTATATAAGTCAACATCATCAATTTAGGCTGAAGACATTCTGTATCACCCTCAAAAAAAATAAGGTCCCATCACGAATTGAGTCCAAAAACCCCACAAAACAGTGACCTTCTGAGGATAAAGAGGATTTGCGAAGAGTTTCATCAACTCAAAATCAGCAGATATGTTTATGAATCCATTGATCAATTTCCTCAAAATAAGGATTGAGTTCCAACTAGTCCAAAGCCCATTTCGCGAAAGTTCGACGCAAATTATGATCAGCTGGCTTGGGTTCTTGAGTAATTGGGACTCTATAAGCCTTTAAATGATGATCGTGATCCATCTGAGAAAGACAAAGTTCTTGAGACCGACACCGACACATTCTGGCTTACATCAACGATGTTCTCCTGTGATTGAGCAAACCGACAACACACATATATTGACTGATCTGCAATTGAGCTCGTTTGAACTAAACGATAAAGAGAACGATCGGTTGGTCGATTGACCATAAATTGCTAGCAAAGTGCAAAACGTCTGGCGAACAAAACACGTAGTTTGCTGGTAGATTCGAATGAATTCTATGCACTGTTCATTTGCATATATTTCCATAATAACTTGGCACAGTGTACTAAACACACTTCTCAATGTTTGGCTAACATTTCGAGCTATGTTGCCACCATTACATGTTCAAGTTCTGAGACGCCCATTAGAAAATTCTTAAGTTGACAACTTAATAGTAAAGAATGTGTACATATTTCATATAAGGAATTTAATAACATTATTTATTTGTTGTCTAATCAAAACGTTTTTTATCAGAAACAAAATTTGTTTTAAAGAATGATATTATTATCCATTTAATCTTGTTTTTTCAACTACTTGCTAGTCTCTGTCATTGTACTTACAATGCAATGATATCATTTGTTTCAAATGTAATAAATGTAAAAATAAAGTATATAACGAGCGTTCAAATAAAAACGTGGTCGAAGTTGGCTCTGACACATTGAACGTAGGGAGTAGCTTATAGCGACCAACTTAACCTCATTTCTCAACGAGCTGTATAGCAGCTGTCAGTTTCAATAACGTTAATGACTATATAACTTTATTTTAAAGAATAATCTTGATAACCATAACAAACAATTAAAAAAGCTGCTGAAAGTGTTCCCCTCCTTGTTCCAAGCACTTTTCAGACCTGTTCCTCAAAGAATTAAAGACATTTTCTAAGATGCTCGGGGTATTGTTAATTTTATGAATCTTTATAAGTCGAGCCTGCAGATGGTTTAAATCAGGAATAGGCAGTTCAAAAATAGTGTTTTTAAGGTAAGGCCACAAAAAGAAATCGCACGGCATAATATCACATGACCTCGGTGGAAATTCATGTTCAGCATTGAGACTTATTAGTCGATTTTGGAAAACTTCCCTCAACATATTCATCGTCTCGCCTGCCGTATGTGCCCTTGCGCCATCTTGTTGAAAGTAAAAGTTTGTAATTTCGTTTTCTTCCAGCTGGTTAACAAAAGGAGCGATAATTTCTTCTCTATACCTTTGCGCAGTAAGAGTACCATTAAAAAAAATAGGTCCATAAATCCTCCTTCGATTGAGAGCACACCAAACTCCAATTTTTTGAGCGTGTAGAGGGCCCTCGACAAAAAAGTTATCTGGTTTTTCAGAAGACCACATTCTCATATTCTGTGAGTTTACGTAACCACTTAAATGAAACCAGGCTTCATCAGAAAAAAAGGTGATATTATGAAGTTCACCGTAGTTGTTTAAAAACCATTCACAAAATACAGCCCGTCGCGGAAAATCAACTTCATGAAGTTCTTGCTGACAAGTTAAACGATAGGAGAACAAACGCAAATCTTTTTTTAACACTGTGTGGCAGGTACCGACTGATACTCCCACCATTTGTGATAAAACACGTACAGAAGTTCTTGGCGCATTTTCCATTATTTGTTGGACATTTTCTTTTAATTCTTCAGTCCGCTTTTTAGGTCGGCCGCTTCCTTCTTTTCTTGTTACACTGCCCGTTTCACGAAAAACATTAACACAACGCTGAACTGCACTTTGAAAAATTTTGTACTCAACAACGCCGGGAAATTGATTTTGAAATTCTATGAAACATTCCTCAATAGAATACTTCCATATTCCATCAATCTTGCGTCCATTTCTAAAGTAGGACTCTATGATAAACACTTTTTGTTCTTGAGAAAACACCATTTTAAACGCTTTTTAAAACGAAAATATTCAAATTGATAGCGGCGATATAGCGCTTTGACAGATGACGTTTAAGTTCATTTGCTATACGCTACGCCCTACGTCCAAATTTTCAGAACCAACTTGACCACGTTTTTATTTGAACGCTCGTTATAATAAACGTTCATGGGACTGTAGATAGTTTAAAGGTAACTACAAGTTAATTTAATACATATACTTATATCTATCATCATTTTCTTAAAGAAACGTTATTCTCTTTTAAATTTGTCACCTTTATACATTGAATCATTCGTCCCTATTATCACGTAGAAGTGTATGTGTATATCCATTTCTTGGATTATACGCCCCTACGTGATAAGAGGGACGTATATTTAACTAACTTAACTAACAAATATTCTACTGTTTATAAAATATACATGTTAATTTCAATATATTCAATATATTATTATCTTCCATTTGTTAGATGATATCTAAAATCAGCATTTGTTACCTACAAATGAAATTTATCGACAACAAAGAAACTGTTCTCTCAATCCAATTTTGCAAAAACTAAATTCCTTTAAGGTTTAAATGAAAGGAAAGCAAAACTAGGGGTCCCATATTTTCCCTATACTTTATGTTTTCAAAGTAAACAAAAAATGTCCCTTTTAAATATTTACTTAACCTTTTTATCTTTCCCCTTACTCTTCTATCCAGAAAAAAAACTGTTTAACTACCACGTCCGCAAAACGTCCGTGAACGTAAAAAAAGCTAATTCAGAAACGAAAAGGATATTTCATATCTAAATTTCATGTGCACAATAGCTATCGACAAGAAAATCGATTTTGTTATTTCTTGAGAATTTTTAGAAACATATGCTGTGAGATATTGATATGTCGACGTATAACTTTGGACGCTTAAAGTTAAAACGTTGGTTGACGTCACAGGAAGTTAGGAAATGTTTTTCCGAATGTGACAGCGTCAACTGTTTCCAGACCGTGGGATTTTCTTAAGAAGGCACTTCGACCTAATTTAAATTGATATAGAAATGCGATGAAATATAAAAGCAGAAAAATGAGTAATTTGTTGTTCTTTGATAATTCACAGTTCTACATAAGTTAGTAACTGAAATACAGTGAACGTACCAAGATAAAATGCACAAAGAAAGGTTTTGTAAAAAATTAATATATTATCCTTTTTGTGTAAAAACTCATTACAATTGTAATCACGTATAAAAATTATTTCGTATAATTCCACCAAAATATGTAGGTATTACTTTTCATTACATTAAAATTTAGTAATATTGTCCTATTGAATGATACAATTTATATTTACCCCCGAGTTTGTATTAGAAAGTACCTAGTATATTGTGAAAACATTTGGTAAAACATTTTATCACAATGTTGTGTTTTAACATTCTAGAAATTTAAAATATATTAAAATGCACAGTAAGAGTTCTTGCTTATACATATGGCATTTATTTCTTTATTATATTACCTTGTAAGTACTAAGTACTACTGTAAATATTACGCCGCAATAAACATCTAAATTTAAATACTTTCAGAACGTGAAAGTGTAACACAGGAAAAAGTAAAACACAGTTAGGATTTTTCGCAACACCCCAGTCTTTTTGTGACTATGTTTGTTGAAACATTATTTCAACACAATGTGGTAGTAAACACAGTGAAATCGGTTTAATGAATGAATACTAGGTGATAAGCGATAAAAGTTTTTCTGTTTCTTTATTGCTATTATTTTGTTTTTATTAAAAATAAAATTCAGTGTCATAATAAACTTTCCATCAAATATTGCACATAGTCGAGATTATGGCGAAGTCGCCAGTAACAACCAGTACAATAATTTAGTCTTGATAATATATTCGGTTTATTTTAATATTCTCTGTGACATTTAGCTTGTTTTACGAACACAATCGATATATGACAAATATATCCTATGTTTTGTCATATCGATTCTATTCAGGCTTGGTTGAGGGTTCAAAGGATAAACAAGTATATATAAATAATTTACATTAACTACTCTACACTAATCTAAAATCTGAGAATCTAAATTTAGAACCAACAATGATATATTTAACACCGGGATTCCCGTGTAAGAAAATATTCTACAAGCAGTCTTTAAATTTTTAATAGATTAACTAAATTTAACAAAATTTTAGTGTTAAAGAACTTTTAAAAATGTTTTAATTATTTTCCCAGTGTATTATGAAGAATGTCATCTAAATTGTCTCAAGTTTAAAAAAATATGGATAATAAGAGAACAAAAATAATATTTTGGTGGTTTAAATTCAAAACACCCTGTGGAGTATTTAATAAAATTGGTCAGGTTCTCTTTCAATATCCGATGTTTTGCAAAATATAGTTTCAAAACTTTACAGTTTTAATTTTGGGGATAACGATGAATGAAACAATGGCTACAAAAATTTAATAACTTATATTGAACTGTGAATATCTTAAATAGAATAAAGAGGAAAATGCATATTGAACTGTGAATATCTTAAATAGAATAAAGAGGAAAATGCAGACTGGCATAAAATTTTGAGTGTTCAAGTTAAAATTACATCAACAATCAACAATCAGCAACATTTTAGGCTACCGATATGAAAATGTTATAAAAATTGGACTGAAAATTTCACCCTCCTGTCAAATTCAACATTACAACAATAAAATGTATGTTTTATTGTTATTTTTAAGATTTAAATTTCCTTATTTTTATTTTCAAGCAACAAAATTAAGAAAATTAGGATTACAAATTATTCGACACAATTGTTTCAAGTAAATATGGAATAAGTTTGCTAAAGGTACATTTTGACATGACTAGGATTTTAACTAACAGTGGCATCCAACTTTTAACATTTTAATTGTATTTTTCATCATTTTTCTGAAATACTTATCCACTTATACTTTGAACTTTGAAAATTATTTATACCAGGACAATTTTCATAGTAAAAATGTAGCTAATAATTTAATTCACGCTGTAATTTTAGAGAGTCGTAACCCAATAATAATGTTAAGAGATATTTTAAACCAAATTCCAATCTGAAATATCCATTATTAGAAATTTTCGAATTCAAAGATACTCCACGAAGGATCCACCAGATCGTCTGAGGTTAACGTCACCGTGTAACATAAG